CCTCCAGGTCTTGTGTCTTTCTATTTTATATATATATATATATATATATTTATTTATTTATTTTTTGTTTTTAATTCCTTTTTTTTTTCCCCTTTTTTTTCTGGGGGTGGGGCTAGGGGGAGGGGAGGTGGCCAGGGTGAGAGAACCAGGAAGAAAACACCTCCAAGCTAAAACTCAAATCTCACAGAACCTTTGGTCACAGACATGGGCCTGTTAGAAATGCCACTTTATCTAATCTTGCCATAGAAGCTGATTTTCCTCCCTGTGGTTTCTATATATTTTTAAATTAAGCTGAAAAGAACAGTTCAAAGGAAGCAGGCTTTTCTACCCATCAAAATAATTTAAACTTACAAACACTACAGTGGATCTTTGAGACACTGCCAGGAATTTTAAAAAGCCTTCATTGCCGCAGTTCTCAGTATCCTCTGAGACCTTCATGCAATACACAGTTCCTCACCTGGTTTCAGCTCTGTCATACATACACTTTGCAAGTGCTGGAATGTCTAAATTAAAATTTATTTCTTTCAATAAGCAGAATTCAGAATCATTTATTGTAGGAGAGAAGATGGATAATCCTTTGGGCCTTGTTTTCAGTTTCCTTGACTTAACTAGATTTGTGTACTGGATTTTTTCAAATCATTGATGTTCATGGTCTCTCCCATCTAGTTGTTGTTCAGAACTTGAATTTACTACCATGACTTGCCTGCATATATTCAGCCATGTTTATTTTTATATCACTTTGATACTTTGACATTTCCTTTTGGGGGGAAAGAGACGAATGGGAAGGCTTTCCTACAGCTCAGCAAGATTTGGGGGGAAAAAAAGAAATAAAAATAAAATAAAGCCCACCAACACCACTAACTCTTGACGTAGAGACACTGGCTTTTAATTAAATACTTCCTAACAGTGCTGCTGGGAAAGAAGTGCAGCACAAACGGGAAAAATCCCAACACACCTGTGAAGGCTTTACAGGGACTCCTTCCAGACAAAGTCTAAGTGTATACAAATCTTTCCTCATTTTCCACCTGAAGAAAGATTTCAGAGCAAACTTCCCCCCCACCTCCCCCTTTTTACTTTTCCCCTCCTCTTTCCTGTAGCCTGCAGCTCATCCCCAAACAGCTATCTGTGTGCAGGGGAAGAGCTGAGCAGTGCTGGGCAAAATCCAACGACGCACCTTTCAGTTCAAAGGGCAGCACGTGTCACGCACTCAAGACTCTTGATAGAAAAGGGGGGGAAAAAAAAAAAAAAAAAAAAAAAAAGGCATTTTTTATGTCCTGTGTTCCAAAGGCTGTTGTTCCATGCCAGGGAGGCAGCTGATTTAGTCTGTGCTCTGCCCCTCTTTCTAGGGACCCTGAGTTAGGTGCAGGTAGGAGCAGGGCGCGCAGGGAGATGGAGCAAATCCTGCGGGGGACACCACGAGCTGCCGCCAGGTCCGCTTCCAGGGCGGCCGAGGGCAGGGGGGGTAGGCTGATGACCCTGATGACACTGGAGATCAGCCCTGGGCCAGGCCATTCCCTTCCGAAAAAAAAGGAGGCAGATGACGCCAGGAAGCTGTTGAGGCTGCCGGGCTGCAGGCGGCGGCGGGCTTGTGCCACCTGCTGGAGACCCTCAGGTCTCCCTGCATAACGCGGCACTGACTATCTGCTTAAAAAAATGGAAAAAAAAAAATAATAAAAAGCACATTTCATAAGGCATATAGACGAAATTAACTCCTTAATCTACCGCTGTCAAAACGGCATCAAAATGCCTGTAACGCTGCTTCAACTCTCTCATTTCTACTGGCAATTCCACGAGACAAAGATTTTTAAAAGGAAAACGGTACAACAGGGTTTGTTGCTCTCGAGATTGTTAGAATTAAAATAGCACCAATCTTGCAAAAGCAAAGTCTAGGTTTCATGAGTCCAAAACAATCTCAATAAAGAAGAAAATCATGACACAAGGTATACAAACTTCCACAGAGTCACAGAATAGTTGTGGTTGGAAAGAATCTGAGATCACTGAGTCCAACCATAAAAATAAAAAAACCACAACAAAAAACCCCCACCAAAAACCAACCAACCAAAAAACCACAAAACACACCCCCCAAAAAAACCCCCCCACACAACCTACAATCTTGGTCACTAGAGCATGCCCTGGAGTTCCTCATCTACATGTTTCTTGAATACATCCAAGGATGGTGAGTCACCACCCTGGGCAGGCAGTTCCACTGCCTGATCACTCTTTCAGTTAAGGAATTCTTCCTAATATCCAATTTGAACCTCCCCTGCCACAACTTCAGGCCACTTCCTCTGGTCCTCTCATTATTGACTTGGGAAAAGAGGCCAACACCCACCTTCCTACAACCTCCTTTCAGGTAGTTGTAGAGGGCCATGACATCTCCCCTCAGCCTCCTCCAAACTAAACATCCTTTGTTCCCTCAGCCGCTTCTCATAGAAATCCTTCCAATAAATCCTACAGACTAGTTCTGTGCCATTTTTTCCCATCCAAAATTAGCATCTAGAAGAACTTCAAAAAGGAGACAGCTGAATTGTTAAATTTCTCAGTTAGGCATTGACTTGGTCTGTGTCAGCTTTCCAGAGCATTTTACTGCATGTATCTGTAAAACAAGTACTGTCCAAAGGAAACCACACCCAATAAAGGAAAATAAATAAATAAAATTTAAAAGCCTTTTGAAAGAGATTAATTGCATTTTATTTGAGACTTGAGGCAAAACCAGGGAGAGCTTAACTAGAATTCAAAAGGCAGTTGGGGAAAATAGAAATGATACACTAAATGCTCCTAGGAAAAGGGAGGAAACCATAATTAGATAAACCTGTCAAGTTGTACCCAAAACACTCAGGCATCATATCTGTAGTTATTCAGGCTTTCTTCATTTGTCATACTCTATCCATAAAAGCCCTCCCAAGCAGATGCCTGGACATGAGCTGAGATGGCCCATCTATGTGAACACTTATCAGAGGTGTGAACTCAAAATAAAGCAGGGCAATAACAGCCCTGCTCACTCGGGCACATTCAGGAAGGCAGCAGTAATGCACAGGTAATGCACAGGCTGCTCTCATAAGAAAGGTAGAGCACTTGAAATGGCCCTTTAGCACCCTTACCTTCACTTTCCAGTCCCATGAAACTCCATTTCTCAACTCTCCTGCACTTGGAGCCAGTTTCAACAAGAGAGTCATGCCATGCACTCAGAGCCCAGCACGCTTCTGCCCTTAAAATCCCCCAACTGAAGCATGAAATTGATGTGCCTCTCTTAGCATGCTCTGAACCCATCAGTCTCCAGTGGGTGGGCAGTGCCATCTTTTCCCTTCTTTGTCAACAAAGGAGGGAGCAAGCTAGTCCTCCTTTCTGAGAAGGGCATGCTAAACTGCCAGGAGATTTTCATGCATCCTCCTCTTCCTTTTCAGCTAGCAGAAACTGAGCCCACCAGCCACAGCCCATAGATCTGCTCACATGCCCCAGCAGAATGACACTTAAGTCACTTCTGTGGATCCTGCTCCTGGGCCTGCCGACCTGAAAGTCAGATGATGCTGCCCAAAGCCACTTGGTGGTTCTCTTTGCCTGCACTGCCTTGCAGAGAAAGGACAATCCAGCATGAGAATTGCTATTCAAAATTCAAAGTGTAGCACCACTTTCTTTAACAACTGTAGTCTCTAATTAGATGTATGTACTAAACAAAATTCACGTCAGTAAAAACAATGATAATTTGACACTTCTTTTCAGACAACAAATAAAACCTCTGCAGAACGTTCATTAGTTCAAAAACCTTTTGCTCAAGTAAGAGGCTTTTCTGAAACAAAACAAGAATTAAAGAACAAGATCAGATCTCTCAAGACCTAATCCGCATGTACGCAGTGGCAGACCAAGCCTCTGCTCTGCCTGACAGGAATTACTTTAGTAACATGGACAAGTAAAAAGGGAAAGTGCAGAGAAGCAACAACAATTACAAAAGAGAAAAACCAGCCTACCATAGGGAAATGGATGGATTTTCTGTTTCCATAGGGTGATGATTTCCTCCCAGATGCTCATGCTGTATACAAGTCAAGTAGGTGGTAGGAATGTACTTCAGGCCCCACTCATCCACACCCAACCTGCCCCAGTCAAGAGCTGCACACACACTCTCTACAGTCACTACTGTGCTTTATGAGCCACTCCAAAGCTAATGTGAACTACAGGTCAGTGGAGCAAGGATGTTGCCCCTCATCCATGACCTTGATATGACCTTTTATGACCCATTTATGTAGTTGTGGGCAACATAAACAAGGTGTGTTGGTGGTGCAATGAATGCTGACAGCCTCTGCTTCTGCTCTGGTAGGGCAAAAAGGTTTTGTGAAGTGCATGCCCATATATACAGTCTTACGATAACAGTCAATGCTGAAATGTGCTACTGTGAGGCAGTACTAATTTTTATCTTAAACAAGGAGGAGGAATAATAAGAAAAAAGGGAAAAAAGAGAACAAAGCACCAATCTTCCAAGAGTCAAGTGAACCACAAATGTGGCCATGGTGCCCCCTGTGACTTAAGATGCAGTTCCTGCCTCACAGGGATGTGCCAGGTAAGCTGCTGAGGTTCTTAAGTAATTCTCTCCACACTCAGATAATGTCTAAGTAGTGGAAGAAAACAAAGTGAAAAAATCCCTAAATGTTAATCTTCTTCAGGCCATGCGACTCATTAATGAATGCAAAAAGGACTTTAGATCCCTAAGACATACATACCATTTCCTTGAATGCACTTTCTATGGCCCCAATAACCAGGCACTCATGTGGGATCTTCTTCTCAGTGAAGAAACGTGTTGGAGGGGTGCTGGGTGAGCCTGGGGCCCCCACCCCACCACGCAGGGAGGCCGCCCGCGTCAGCGTCCTGCTGTTGGTGGCTGGGTTGTCGGGTTCCTCTCCCAGGCAGGTGGGGGGGAGGACAGCTGTGTTCCTCAGGATGTCCACTATCTCCTGCAGCTGCTCCTGGATATGGTGCTGCAGCAGTTTGGAAGCAACTACAGCTGCCCCTGACCCAGCGTGTCCATCAAACAGGGACCAGTAGTACAGGCTGATCCCATCTGTGTCCTGGAGAAGCAGGAGGGGAAGAAAGGAAAAGAGATGGTCACTGTTACACAGCCATGAGTAAGGTGATGGAGCAGCCACTGGCAAAGGGACAGCAGGTAAAAACTAGGTAAATTTCCCAGAGGTGAACTTCTTTCAGAAATGGAGAAATACCCACTGTGCTACCAACAGCTCTTGCAGGAAGAAGAGATGCTTATTTTTGCCACAAAACTCCACCTTATTTTTTTTTACTTTAACTACCTCACCGCCCCCCCCCCCAGCAATTAAAAAAGGCTGAACTTGCAATCTTCCCTACCTTACAGCCATCACAGGATGCACTGACCAAGCACAGCTACCACTATGAGATTAAGTTAGTTTCCTAATGATCACAGAGATTAGAAGAAATGCATTTCAAAATCACATAATTGATGGACCTACCACCATGGAAACAAAAATTTCATGCAAGACAGCACCTGACACTTCTGACAGATTATTTTTTTTTCACTAGACCTGAGACAAAGGACTTCAGTTTGACATCTAGTAACAAAATGTGATCCCCACTTCCATGCTGCTAGATAAGGTCCATCCATGCTGGCAGATGGGACAACGCAGGCTTTCCCTGCATGTGCCAGTCCAGGAACCAACACCGAGGTCCTCAAGGATGGCACACAAGTGGGATCAGCTGCATTCCACCCATGCTAGCCTACACATTCAATGCCTAGCGCTTCTCAGTCTTCTGAAAAGTCTCCTGTGTAGTACTGGAGTTACATACCCTCTGATCAGAAGTGTTCTGGTATAGCTCTCAGCATAATAGCATGCTTTTAGATCTTATATCTTAGCTCAGCTCCTAGCATGGCAGTCAGAACAACTGATCTCATACAGGCAGCCTCCACAAAAAGCAAATTATGTAGACCTCGTTATTAAAATTAAGATATATGTGGTAGTTATATATTTGTTCAGCAGTTATTGATCAATCGTGTGATTTTTCAAATATTTCTCCTTTTCTGCTTGATAAAGTCTACTCTGACAGGTGTAAGGCAGCTGCACTATTGCTCTGATTTGAGCAGGAACCATGGTTTTTATGATGAGGTGCCCTATCACTCAGATAGTGCCCATTAACTCAGGGCTGGAGACAGACGAAGTTCTGGGCAGCACAAAGTCCAATCCCCTTGAAAAATACCAAGGAGCCATACCCTAGATAACCTCAATGTATTTGGGAGAAATTCACCTAGAAATCCTTAGGGAAGCATTTGAGACATAAAATACCTGTCTTGGCACAATACCATATTTGGCACCAGAATGTGGAAATAATCTTTCCCACCTTTCCCCTCCGTTTCTTCTTAATCCTGCACCTTTTCCCAGCTATGCTGAAATAATTGTCAGGTTCCCTTGCAAATCAGATGTGGGTGGGCTAACACAGATTTAGAAATAAACCATTTTGGAGGAATCAGGCAACATTGTTGCGAAGCACCTCATACTAAGAAAGCATAACCTAGATCTCACTGCAGTCAAGGAACATAAAAATTATATCCACGTGTCATGCTGACTGCAGACTAATTTAGGATGACAGACACGATTTGTTTCATTCACCCGAACACTGCTCCCTTACACAACAGCTCAGCATATAGTCCAGGCACCACCTCCATCCCAGCACCTCATGCCCAAAGCACTGCATATTTAAAACTTATGGACAGGGCTGTGAGCTGCTGGTCCTGTTATTTTCTGCTGTTCCAGCTGCTCCACAAAGGTGCCAATCACTAGCTCTAGGATAAAGCAGACAGGTTGGAGTAAGAACACCATGAATTGTCATTGGGAGATCCAAAAGACACCATTCATTGTTGCGCCAAGGTATAAAATCCAAAACCTAATGCAAAATGTCTCTTTTAGCAACATGTATATTAGACCATCACTACAACAAGTTCATGGTGTTCAAAGGGCAGAGTTCATTGCTGAACAAGCACTATTACTTTTAGCTTACTTTGTTGAAATGCGTATTTTAAAACCTTGACTACAAAAATTACATAGGTCTGGTTTTTTTTTTTTTAGCTTATAGCACTGCTGTAGTAAAAGTTCAAACATTTTTGACCAGTGTATTAACTGTAGCCATCTATGCAGTGGAAAGTTTCTCCAAGAGAAGGAATTCAGCAGTCTGTTGTGCACTCTTTGTTTCACTGCTGAAATGCTGAGAAAAGGCAGTCTTGTCCTACTGTACTCGATTAGTTGCCACAGTAAGGATCATACAGAGTATATTCAATAATGGTGGATATACCAAATGATGTACACAGTTCCAAAGTCAGATTCTTATTCAGTCCCATCCACTTAGTCAGTCTGGTAAATTCACCAAAAACCTGTTGTGAAATTTCACCCCTGAAGCTGTGACTGGCAGGTGTGCTAGCTTGCTCCAGGCTCAGAATCTCTCCAAGCTCACAGAACAGTTGGCTGTAAAATTCTGCTTAAGCCACTTTTAACAGATAACAGAATTACTGAGTGGAAAACCTGTTTGTAAAAATACATTGCTATTCATGTAAAATGTGAGGTATTTCTGCCAACAGAAACAAGTATCCCAAACTGAAAGTATTTCAGCTTAAAACTGAAATCACTGATTCAAAACAGCAACACCATGCTTCTTGGAAGTCGTAGATCACACTACTTCTGCTCCCATGCCTCTCTTAGGGTTTGGCTCCCTGGCCAATACCCACCTTATGATGCACCATGGATTATGTTTCTACAGCTTATGTCTTGATGTCATTCAAAAGGTGCTATCCCTTCGGGGGAAAAGGTATTAAGGCATTACACCTCTGAAATGGAAATACTTTACCTCCCACCTACAGGGAAAAGATATTTTGGCATTGCACCTCGCACTTCCCCCAAACTATAACAGAAAATTACAGTGAAGTACAAGTTTAAACCACCACCAGCCTGACCTCCCCCTGCCCCAGTTCTCTTCATTTTTCAAAAGCAAGTTCCCACCAAGGTCTGTATTAGAGCTTTTCAGAAGATAAAGGAGAAAAGTTATTAGCACAATTTAATCTCGTTATTATGAGCATAACACTGGATATGTCCTAAGCTGAACAAGCCTCATATGAACTTGGTAGTCAAATAATGTGCCATGAGAGACAGGGAAGGTTTAAAACAGACCAGAACAATAGTCATGACAAAAAGTGAAATTGAAATTTTACCATTTATTTCCTCTTAAGTCAATAGGCAGCACAAATTAGGACAGAGAAGCTCACATGGGCCTGAGCTGTATTCTTGGGCTGTCACTGGCATGAACACAGCATGACCACATCAGCTAGGGTTCTTCTGGAGTTCAATGAACTTGTCCTGTTTGGCCTTGTAATTCTTAAAAAAGAGCAAGTTGCTACCAGTTCAGCTAAGTTCAGGCACTTACATGGCACACCTCCAAGACAGTTCTCTAAATTGCCCTTTTAATTCAGCAGAAAGAAAAAAACCCTGCACTTTCAGACTATGCTCATCTAATTCCAAAGTAGATTTATTTCCCTCTATCAACTGCAGAAGTATCCTAGATAGCTGAGAGGTCTGTATTTTAAGCACATACACTCAGGGGAGATGACTACCACAATGCTGCTCTCATACACACATTCTGTGTGAGATGCTCTAGGGCCTTAATTTCAGTTGGGATCTGCGGGCATCAGTGTAACCTAAATATTAGTCTCCAAAAACTTGTTTGTATTCCTATGAAGCTGAATTTACTTTTGAACTAGCAAAGACAGTATAACCACAAATAACCTATTAGCTGTCTAAAAACAGAAGAAGAAACAAACTCTTTCTACCCCTGGCCCTTGAGAATAAAAATGGCTTCCTATTTGAAGGAAATTAATTCTCCAAAATTACACTAATTTAATGAGAATTAAATATATAGTGCAATAAAGCAGCAACTCAGAGAATGAACGAGGGCTGGTAGTCAGGGCACACAGATGAGACAAAACACACAGAAAGGTCACTGCTTTTCCTCCCACAGCTGAGATGACCTCAGTAGCTACCAAGCCATTATTGTGCCTAACCAATTTGGTGGCCTTCTATGACAAGGCTCAGAGATGGTGGATAATGGCAGAGCAACTGATGTCATCTACCTGGATTTGTGCAAGGTATTTGACACTGTCCCACTTGACATCCTGGTCTGCAAATGGACAAGACATGGATTTGACAGATGGACCAGTTGGTGGATAATTAATTGGCTGGGTGGCTGCACCCAGAGAGTTGTGGTCAAAGGCTCAGTGTCCCAGTGGAGGCAAGTGATGAGTGGCACTCCTGGCAGTACTGGGACCAGTGCTGTTCAACATCTTTGTTGGAGACATGGAGAACAGGATTGTGTGTATCCTCAGCAAGTTTGCTGATGATACCAAGCTGTGTGGAGTAGGTGACACCCAAGAGGGAATGGATGCCATCCAGAGGGACCTTGACAGGCTGAGAGGTGGGACAACGCCAACCTCATGAAGTTCAACAAGGCCAAGTGCAAGGTCCTGCACCTGGGTCAGTGCAACCCCAGGCACAAATACAGGCCTTAATTTCAGTTGGGATCTGCAGGCATCAGTGTAACCTAAATATTAGTCTCCAAAAACTTGTTTGTATTCCTATGAAGCTGAATTTACTTTTGAACTAGCAAAGACAGTATAACCACAAATAACCTATTAGCTGTCTAAAAACAGAAGAAGAAACAAACTCTTTCTACCCCTGGCCCTTGAGAATAAAAATGGCTTCCTATTTGAAGGAAATTAATTCTCCAAAATTACACTAATTTAATGAGAATTAAATATATAGTGCAATAAAGCAGCAACTCAGAGAATGAACGAGGGCTGGTAGTCAGGGCACACAGATGAGACAAAACACACAGAAAGGTCACTGCTTTTCCTCCCACAGCTGAGATGACCTCAGTAGCTACCAAGCCATTATTGTGCCTAACCAATTTGGTGGCCTTCTATGACAAGGCTCAGAGATGGTGGATAATGGCAGAGCAACTGATGTCATCTACCTGGATTTGTGCAAGGTATTTGACACTGTCCCACTTGACATCCTGGTCTGCAAATGGACAAGACATGGATTTGACAGATGGACCAGTTGGTGGATAATTAATTGGCTGGGTGGCTGCACCCAGAGAGTTGTGGTCAAAGGCTCAGTGTCCCAGTGGAGGCAAGTGATGAGTGGCACTCCTGGCAGTACTGGGACCAGTGCTGTTCAACATCTTTGTTGGAGACATGGAGAACAGGATTGTGTGTATCCTCAGCAAGTTTGCTGATGATACCAAGCTGTGTGGAGTAGGTGACACCCAAGAGGGAATGGATGCCATCCAGAGGGACCTTGACAGGCTGAGAGGTGGGACAACGCCAACCTCATGAAGTTCAACAAGGCCAAGTGCAAGGTCCTGCACCTGGGTCAGTGCAACCCCAGGCACAAATACAGGCTGGGGGGAAAATGGCTGGAGAGCAGCCCTGAAGAAAAGCACTTGGGGGTGGTAGTAGATGAAAAGCTCAACATGAGCCATCAATGTGTGCTGGAGCCCAGAGAGCCAAACACATCCTGGGCTGCATCAAAAGAAGTGTGGCCAGCAGGGCCAGGGAGGTGATTCTGCCCCGCTACTCTACTCTGGTCAGACCCCAGCTGGAATACTGTGTACAGCTCTGGTGCTCTCAGCACAGGAAAGGCATGGAGCTGTTCCGTGCAATGACACTACAGTTAATTTCTCAAATGTACTAGGAAATCTAATAACTTTCAGGCTCCTCAACTGCTGACTTTGCTTTTAGAAAGTTCCAGCAGTTTCCTGTGTTTTGCAATTGTAAAATATAATTAAGACATGCAAAGTTTTGGGTCAAATAATGGATGAGAAAGCATGGGGAAAAAAGTATATATATACACATAATTGGAGATCAATTATAGGAAGAAAAAAAAGAGCAGCCTTAGCAATATATAGTGATCCATTTGGGACAAATTTTTCAGGTAAGCTAGACAGTGGTTATACACTGAAAACCTTCAGATTTTTTTTTTTAGGAACTTAATTCCAAACAGGCAAATAAATCACATTGCCACTAAAAATTTATTCTGAAAACCACAACCGACCCTGATAATTATTATTCTAAATAGGAACTACACTCACAAAATGCATTAGAATGCATCTTTTGGTCTCGTCAGATCGGAACTGGGTGGACAATAGTCACTCCATCCTTGGAGAAAAGCTTCCTCATGTTACCAATTATATGTTCAGCTACCTGTGGTAGGCAAGCAGCCTTGTGTCCCACAGAACAAAAACTCCAACCCATATCTGTGGCAAAGAAAACTGCAGAATTAATAATTATGTATCGTCACATTACGGTGACAATTAAGAAGGCATCACACTAAGTCATGCAACCTGTCACTGTGACAACATCCTTGCATGGGATTCCCATTTCACTCACTGATGGTCTTCAGTATTCATCATCAAGATACTCAGTAGTTAGAGGCATTTCCAAATAGTACCAGAAAAAAAGTAATGCTGTTTAAAGTGAATGCTCCTGAATAGGAACAGCTGCAAATATGATTAATCATATCAGTGGTGTGTGGTGGGGGGAAAGAGAGGTAATTCATCTAGGGTTGAGTTTTTAGAGTCTTTCCTTTCACTGCTCTGCTTAGTTTATCACCCATGCTTTCAAGAAGAAAACCATAATCATGCTTTTAAACAGGTTTCCTTGGATTTTTGTGTCTGTTGGGGCTAAGCAAATGCTCACTTCTCCATCCCCTTTATTTTTGGCCTACCACCTCCTTCTTCTCACCTCCAGAAACTCTGCAGAGTCCACTCACAGAACCAAGGCCATGACACCAGCACCCAAATCATGGATCTCTGACTCCCTTACGCTGCCTTGCCAAAACACAGGGCTGCACTAACGGGGTCAGCATTAAACAATAATAATCACAAAACCTCAGATGCAGCTGCCATTTACATTTCACAAATATCCCAGAAAGCAGGGTAAAACAAAGATGACACCTGGCCTTCTCAAAGTTTCTGTGGAAAAAACATAAAATCTGAGGACTCTGAAATGGACTGGGTTAAATCAAGACAGTTTAAGTTCCAGCTCCACACTTTGTGCTCCACACTTCAAAAAAGAAAAAAAACTTAAAAAAACCCAAACCAACCCAAAACTCAGACTTTCTTTTAATTGGACAAATAATAAACTGCTTCCCTCGTCCCTCCTCCAACATTTCTATGAGATGCTACACCACTTGGATTGTATGTTGTGGTGAGATTTCCATATGAGGCTTTTACAGCATTCAGCTTCTGGCTTTCTTACTAAATACTTGTCAGAATATTATACCATTCACTGGAGTGTCTCAAGCCTGTATTTCTGCATCCTATTGATACAGAGTAACCTGCATCTCCATCACATTTAACATCCAAGTTGTGCACTCCTTAAAAAATACTTGCTACCAATGCTATGTTAGGACAAAACACAATATTACACTTCACAGTATAAAAATATGAAAACAAAGATAGACACATTATAGAAATGTGTACTTTTTTTTTTCCTTTTTAGATACATTCAACTAGCAAAAACAGTACTAAGGAAAAATATCCTACTAATTGCTAGTGTAATACTGCCCTCTAGTAGAAAACTTTTTCCAGAAATATGCTACCTGTTTTGGCAAAATGTGGATCAGCTGGCTCCTCACTTCAGACATGCTAATTTCTGGTCAAAATACATAAGCAACAGAAGATTTGAAATTAAAAAAAAATAAATCTCTCAATAAGCCTGAAAGGGAGTGGCTGTTTATTTAAAAATTGAGATAAAAGAAAGAATTACAGTAGAATTAAAGTGACCTGCCCTAGATTCTGTGGTGGTCCTGCTCTGGCAGGGGGGTTGGACTTGATCTCCAGAGGTCCCTCCCAACCCCTACCATTCTGTGATTCTAGGAAATACACTAGTTAACAGAGGAAGAGAAATCAGAAAATTCTGTGAGATGCTTTGCATACTGCAGGGTAACTGGATACTTAATGAGATTGACAATCATTAAGCTTAAAATGGATAAAAGGAACAGCTTTCACAAATATGCAGTCAGTTTATAGACCCTACCATTACAATACCATAATGGATACCATAATTATGGCTAGAGAAGATACCCTTCCAATAATGAAATAATTCTACATTCCTGTATTTTTTACGCAATCTAAACATATTAACTATGTGATGTTTAGGGAGAAGTTCCTTCTGAAGAAGATTAACCATGTAGTATATACAAGATAGTGTGCCCTTTTGCTTTTGGGAAGCTTCGATACTCCTCAAAGCTGAAAGTTAACTGGACTTTGTGAAACAATGTTACAAAGCTTTTTCTGTCCCATGCATTCCCCCAGAATAGGAAAACAGGTAAATTCAGTACAGCCACATTCACCCACATCCCAGATGCAGAAGTCCATGGTGTCTCACATGGTAGGCCTGGAACTTCAATGCAGTGCTAACCAAAGCTAGTACCTCTGCACAGGACCAAGGTGTGTGTACCCTGTCTGGTGTCCGCATAGGGGTATTTGCTCTGTGCATGACACAGTTATACCACTTGTTTGATACAAACCCATCACCTGGAACAAGCACATCATTGCTTCTCTTGATGTGTTTTTTATATACAACAAGTTCTGTGGCTGAATGCTTGCTTTATTAAACATAACAAACATGTACAAAAATGAAATACACTCATAGAACAAAACATCTGCATGAACCAATAGCAGACAGTTTCATGACTGTTGCAGATTTTTTAAAAACATAGATTATCAAAAGAAGTTCTGTTTTGCCTTGCATGCCTGTATGCAGAACTCATCTCTAGCAAGTACAGGGCACAATTCTGTACCCAGGAATGTGCAAATATGTACTTGAAAAAAAATCACAACTGTCTGAATACAACGAAGAATATAGGCACAAAGGAACTGGCAGAGGTGATTTAAGGAGAGATTTGAAAGAGGAAAGAACAGGGCTCTTTGCAAACCTAGAAGATAAGGTAGAGTCTGAAAATGCAGTAATAGTGAAATATGAAACAGAACAGGAGGATCAAGAGGTGGGGCAGGACACAGAGCAAGAACACTTGTTGCTCAGGTCCCTGATAACCCCCTGCAGCCATCAGGTGCACCAGGCCATGGGGCTTTGGGGGAGTGACTGAAGCAGAAATCACAACCTGGTTTAAAACAAAGCAAAACAAAACAAACAGCAAAAGAAAGAAAGAAAGAAACAAATAAAAAAAGAGTACTTACAGTCCACTGAAATATTAATTATCACTTAGGAAGGACTTGTGTTCTCCCAGCAGCCGAGAGACTGCATATGCACATTGTCCAACTCCAACATTCAGGTAGAGCATTTAGTGTTACATGGACAGATGTCTGAATCAAACACACACTACCAATCACTACTGGAGTCTCAGCTCATGTTTAAAGAGCAGATGAAGTAATTAGCCAATCAAGAAAGAGCAGAGATTAAGAATAGTAGATGATTTCCAGTAGCCAAGTGCATGACATAAATCACTCTCCACACAGAGAGAGGAGCCACAGTCTGCAAAAGTCACTTAATTGAGTGTACTAGATGACCTTAACCTACCTGCAGAAACCAAATGACTGTCTAACCCTTAAAAAATTGCATGACTGTACAAAAGGTGATACTGCTATGCTTCCAGTGACTGTCACTGGACAAGTCAACCACAGCCATTAAACACACAGTATTCTATGGCAAAGTCCTCAGGATTATATTTTCAGAAATGAAATAAAAAGGAAAGTCCAGGGAGTATTCTCCTCCCCATCTTTAGAACAAAATGTCTTTGATGCAAAGAGCATTTTTCAATGCAAGAATTCAATGATCAATTAGTTGAGCTTAGGAAAATATAGTTAAGTGTTCTGTATTTAAGCAGAGAGAACTAATAAGATGTAACTGAAAATATACAAGACATTCAGTACCCATCTTTTAGTGTTATATTGCCACATCCCTTTACATTTATTTTGTACTTCTACATGGACAAGATACAGAAGCCTGCTTACTGAATTGTCTTTCAGCTGGAGACCTTCTCCATTAGGCAGTGATGACCTCCGTTTTGTTGAGTTCTTGTTTGGGGTGGAATTAGTGCCTCCAGCTTTCTTCTTGACAAAGAGGACTTCACAGCTGGCTTGATCTTCATTGTGCGTGCTCTTCCCTGCATTTATTACCCTAAGAAAAAACAAAACAAAGAAAACAAGGGACATGATCACATTAGCAGAGTACGGAAGCCTCCATCTGTATCTCATATGTGACTCTAGATGTACAGAACCATAGCCCAGAAGTATTAAAATACCAGCTGAATTAAAGTCTCTGACTTTCTTACACACACTTCTTTGTTTCCATACACCTACGCATTGTCTAACAAGCATTTTTCACATAACTATGTGAATAAGACCTAACAGTATTGTGAGCATTTTTTTTACGCTAACGCATACCATGCTCTTCTTTAAAGGGACTACTTGACAATCAAGGCTGGTCACACTTGTGCCTCCTGGTTAAAGCATAAGATTTCCAAGCTGCTTTTCTACCAGTCAGTCTCTCTGTTATGGTGAATAAGGAATCAGTTGGCTAAAAGTGTGCATTCTATCTGGTTCAAAGTCTTTCACCAAAAAAAACCCAACCACAACAACAAACCTACTATCAATCTAAAAAGATGTTACTAAAGAAAGAAGTTTTTTCTGCACAGAAAAAAAATGTAACTGCTATTAGTCTGTTTAAAGGGCATATATTAGAAATGCTGTGACAAAAATACAAAGGAAAGAAACTGCCTTATATTCCAACATGCAAGTCTAGCCTGCTTGTACCACAGCAACATAGAGAGATGCATTCTGAACACATTCTGTACATTCTGTACTGCAGAACAACATAAACACCCCCCAAAAGAACACCCAAAAAACCCACAACCCTCACACCTGAGTCCCCCCTGCAGCGCAGAGAACTGGAGATTTGCACCAAAAGCTGCAGGCAGGCAGAAACCAGAACTAAGAGCTCAGTACAAGCTTTGGGCAGCCAAGGGTATCCAGAGACTTGCACCTCAACTGCTTATCCTCCTTCTGTCAGCAACGACACTGAAATAACAGATATTCCACCAACAACATTAAAAAACCCTAATCACAAGTTTGCATTGTGCAAGATACTATTGTCATGCACGTCAGAACAGCCAAGTTCATGTATGTTTTCCACCTTGTCCATGAGAATCTTGTCACTAATGTTGCATCATTTGACACCAGCTGACATAGTAGGACATGTGCTTTGACAGTCCTGGGCTCACTCAGGGAAAACCTGTGCAACTCAGGACCATGTCTTTTTCCAACCAAGCAGACACATTGCCACTTTGATGCAAGCATGTCTTCTCCCACAAACACTATCTAACCACTGCTCTTTACTATGAGGTTTGAGTCTCCTAACAAGCCAGCCACTAGTCAGAAGCTGCATTTCCACTACTGGACAAACACTGAGTTCCACATCGGGGACACAATGTCTTTAAAAACAACTGCTGCCTTCCCAGGAAGTAAAACAGCTTGAAGGCACATTGTAATTCTGATGGCAAGTTCAAGACATACCTGACTTCTTGATCTCTCATGTTCTCATTACAGTAAAATTTTATGTAGCAGGAGAACACTTGCTAAAGGTTGTTGAAATGAAAATAAAAACACGAAGTAAGGCCTGCAGGGGACTCTGCCCCAGCTTGCCTGCTCTTGCCAAAATGTCAATTCTGTGTCAGCCTTGCTTAAAGCTAATGTATTCTTTTGATTTTTGAGGAGCAACATGATACTGTGACATGTAAATGAGTATTTCTGCCTTTGATCAGAAAAAATAGTCCTCTTCTAAGAAAATTTGTATACACTCCAATTAGCTGCTGTCAGAAACAGAAAGATTCCTTACAGAGCCAAATGTCACACATTGCAGACTGACATCTGTATGCACATTACCATCAGTTTTTTACAAGTATTTCTTGTAAATAAACACCAACTGTGGATAAAATTCTGTGAAACACACACTGAGCAGAGACGAAGGAGCATCCAGTCGCAAGGCAGCTGTGAGCAGTTTAACCACTCACCCCCTGTAGTGCCTAACCTTTGAGCAACTGGAGATCAAACATTGAGGCACAATAAGCTTCTACTCTGAAAACTTGACATTTTCTTGACATATTTGGGAAAATGAAAGCATATATTCAGATACTGGGAAGAAGGGGAACAAATCACAAAGAATTTAAATCATCTGACCAACACCCCTTCAGTTTGAAAGGCTACAAGCACGATTAAAATATTGTAGTAGCATAGAAGGTCAAGTTTGATCAGATCAGGAGCTAATAAGTATTCAGTTTAGCTAATCAGTCTCCTGAGTGATACTGTTAGCTCTTTTCAACCCCATATAAAGTAAAAGCAGAATACAGAGACAAAATCTACTTACAAAACTCAGCACACCTCCTTACCCTTATCATTCCTTACAAAAAGTCACCAAGTATTAGAGCTGCTCTGGTTTCTGAGTTTATAGTGATGGACTTCAGGACTTGTATGGTAAGGGAAGTTCTGATAATTAATGGATTATTAAGTTATCCACAATATGGTATCGATTTATAAAGCTCTTGCCAAGGAAATCTGTCAAGGCACTGAATACGTTAGAAAGGCTATGAGCGAAAACGTGACCTAACAGACTAGGTTGGCAGTCAGCTACCATGAAACACCTGGAGCTGTACCTGCGTACCAAACACCTTGCAAGAAGAGGATGTGGTCAAGGAGAACCTGACAAGCCTGAGCAGGGAAAAGACATGGGAGGTGGCATGTCAGTATATGTACCATCCCAGAATTTCACTTTGTCTCCCAAAAATCCAGTTTTCCTCTCTCCAACAGAGGATTAAGTCTATTTTGGAAATCCTTGTGAAAACGTGAGCTAATCATAATGTCAAAACAGTGTTTATGTGTGCTACCAGGTAATGCAGGGTCTAGATGCCAAAAGGCGCCCCTTTCCTGACACAGGCACTCTTCTACCTTTCCATTCCATCTCAATAGGCAAACTTTGGGAAAGGGCTGCAGCGAAGCCCTGTTGTTTTTCATCTCAAAGCCTGAACTCTGTGTTGGTGCCTGATGCCCAGCACAGAAGCCAGTAACACCTTCTGCTAAGCTTCAGAAAATCTCTGCTGCCTTTTGAAATCCTTTTCTTTCTGCAGCTTCTTAAATTCCTCCTCGAGGCAATTCTGTCAGCCAGCTTTCCAATGCTGCCTTTCCTTTACTGTTGACTTCCCTCCTTGCTCTCCCAGACTGCAACTTACCAGGACAAAAACCACATCTAAGCTGCTTATACAAATAACGAAACAGAACTAACAAGATGTTCATATCTCCAAAAGGTAACTCTTTAACACTAGACCTCAGATTTTTTTTATGGAAAAATTCAACATCTCCATCCTTCCATGAAGGATGTGCCTCAGCTTCTGAAAATTTTCAGTTTCCCTTCATGTATTTTTTTCTGTCTCAAAAAGTAAGTTATCTTCCAGTAAAGGAAACAAAAATAAGATAAAGCACTACCTTCTCACACTTAAAAAAAAAAGCCCTCCAATCATACAGTTGTCCTCACTTTCATTTGATCATGGATGCAAACAATAATAATAATAAAATACACAGAAAAAGGAATTAAAAAAAAAGATCGAGGCCTATATCATTCTCTTTCACTCAGAGACATGTTTTCAAGGGAATTCTTGGTTTTGTTTTCTCTCCCCATAAATCCTCAATAAACTGTTTGATTAGACCTAATAATTATCAACTCATTTCCATCCTTTCCCATCTTTCCCCATTACCCATTTATCTTCTATCCAATCTTTCACAAAGTTCAACTCAAATAACATATTTAATTTAGATTAGAAGCATCTCTGTTTATGGTATTATGGTCTCTATAGTATCAAATGCATATTGCTCAGTAATAGCTAAATAATCCTGAGGTTTAGTTCATGGTATAGTAGTGCTAGTAAAAATACATCCTACTTGTAAGTAAGAGCTTCCTGAAGCCTGCAACAGTGAGCTGGTGGGGTTTGGTCACACTTGAAGAGGTACTTGCATCAACCTTGATGGATGTCTCAGTACTTTATGAGACTAATCCTTGACATGGCCTCAGCTGAAAGTAAATCTCCTATATATGATCCAGCTAGTTTGGCTCACAATTAGCATTCTGCTGGTATCTCGTGAGACCCCAAATCCCATCTGACTGAACAGAATGTAGGTCACGCTGTGCTTCTCTTCTCCATTCAGCAAAGCAAGCTCAGACTCCTGTGCTGAGGTCACTGATTACAAAATCCTAAAGTTTAAAGAACCAGAACAGAGCAGATGAACAAATACAAAATCGGTTTTGATAATGGTTTCCTGACAAAAAAAACCCAACACCCTACCAAAACCCAAAAAACCCAGTCTTTTGAAGCATTTCCGTTCAGCTACTATTCACATCCATATCAGTACATACTTTTCAGTTTTACTCCTCCATATATTGTGCTTATTCAGATTACATTAAGCTGTATTTTCTCCAGCAAAACTTGCAAGCTGTGCTGTAGGAGAAGAGTTTAACCCTGCTCTAGATATCAAACTCTGAAAAAAATTAAAGTAGTTGTCCAAGTACTCACAAGTCTAGCTAAAATAACAGGTGAAGGCAAAGAGCTGAGCAGAAATTCTGAATGATGCACGACAACAACAGTGTGCACAAAAAATGCTTTTTGAAATTTAAGGGGAGCTAGAAGAGCTTGGGGAGTTATGTTTCACCAGGAGAAGCATGGGAACTGGCTGCACATAAACTCTAGACCTGCCCAAACTAAGAAATAAAACCTGTAACCAAGGAGCCTAGCCTACCCCATTAGTTTAGTTGAGCAGTGGGGTAACTGACAACCACCTGTGACCACAGGAGTACACCCCAAATCCTAACTGCTTCTCCCCCACCAAGGCACAGCTCCACTCTGAAGCAGTGGAGAGCATTCCTAGCTCCACCTCCTCTGTAAGATCTGTTCTGAGGGTCAAGACATCCTACTCATGCACTTCCAGAGCAGAAGTCTCGGCACCCTATGCTTGCACCATGTTGGTTACGGCTGAGGTGGTGTCTATTACCTAGTAGCCCACAAGGTCCGACACTGGAACAACAAAATACTACAAATGTGTCTAAAAAGAAAGTGCTGCAGAGGAAAAAGGAAATATGGCAACTTGCATTTGTCAGTGAGGAAGCAATCATGCCAGGCAGGAAGCCATCCTGGCAGGAAAGGTCAGCTGAAAGTGGAAGAAGGTGAATGGAAGAACACAAAAGCAGCTTGAAAAGGTCCAAACACTTCTGATAAAGCAACAAAAAGTAAAGTCTTGAAAAAAAGACCAGTTGGTGGTCCCAACTTGCTGCTTTCTTAGATCTCTTGGAAAAGATGCTGCAATTTATTTATTTATTTATTGGTAAATGCAAAGATAAGACCCAAACTCTGCTCAAACAAAAGCTGAAAGTTCCATAAGATATTAAATATATATGTAAAGAAAATCCCTACAAACAAGTTCCCTGCTTTGAAATAATCCATGCCTTAAAAAAAAAACAACAAAAAAATCTTTCAATTGCCAAACCAAAACTTTTCTCCTGTGCCTTCATCTTTCTTCCCTAAGGAAATTTTTCTAACACCATCCCGTATCTAATTAGCAGACATATAATCTTAAACATTTCTTAAACTATACAACTTGGAACACACTCCTTTTTTCTCCATTGACAGCTTTCAGGTTACCAACAATATCAGAGTAATACCACTCACTGCGGAAGTAAGCAATTCTTTTTCTAGGAAATACTGGCTGTATTCAATAATCACAAGAAGTAAGCAGTGACAAGGAAGGGCTGCTGCTAAGGTTCTTCCTTTTTCTCTGGATAAAAGTGACTTTCTGCACTTCCGACATGTAACAGTTTCTGAAATAAAAGCAGTACCATCCTTCCTGCTGTTGACATGATGAAAAAAATGATAATGGCAAAATGTCATGCTTAACCATGCATCCCTCAAAAATATAACAAAAATATTGGACCCCAATGCAACTGCCTTACATGCTTGGAGGAAAATGTAGCCTACAACAGAAAATTAAAGCAGAGACCAACAGCTGAGGTGAAGGAGAATTGCTTGCACAATGTCCCACATGTAGATGTCTTTATTTGTGAAAACTGCTCTCATTTGATATACAAAAACTTCAATTTTTTACCCCCCAGGCAAATGCCTCTTAATATCCTCCTCAAGGCTTAGGCAAAACAAGGTAGACAAAAGCAGATATATCCATGGGCAGTTTGTGGTTTTTTTTCAATTTTCCAGTTAAGGCTGGGTGGGGGCTTAGAGCACCTGTAGTAGTTTTGATGCTAAATGAATCAGTTCCTCAGGCAGCAGTGCCCTTCTCTCCCTCCACCAGCCTGCAAGGCTCCAGTAACCATGAGTATGACACCAGCTTGCATCCAACCCAACTAGTAACACAGAAGTAACCCAGATGAACGAACACCGCACCTATAAACCAACAAACAGTATGTCCCTACAGTTTCGCGTTATGATTTCCACTGTCTTAGAATGAAGATTAAAGATATCACAAAAAACCCTTTCATACAAGT